TCTAGAACTTCTTGAGAGTGAAATAAATAAGAGTGAAAACAGAGTGGACAAAATTGATACTTGGAAGGAAAAAAACAGCCTTTCTGCATATAAACCATAAGATAATTAAAACCACTAGGCTGTAGTCCTTATTGTAGCTGTAGAGTTTATGGCCTGATAAATGGTCCCTGTTCCACCACAGAGAGTAATTCTAGTGACTGGACAGTTTGTTTTCCTCACATCTGTCTTCTTCCCAGGAGTAGCATTGAACAGACATCCTCAGGTTCTTAATCATCTTATTCCTTTGTAAAAGCTCTTCTCTCTTTGTCCTCCAGGTCACTTCCCATTCTTTTTTAGCTGGAGTCGCATGCCAGTCATGCCTCCATGGCACCACACCCAGGTCACTGAACTTACTCCCTTACAGATTCCTGAACCACTTGGGGATGGGTTCCTTCAGCCAATGGCTGCTCTTAACTTAGTGCCTGCTGATTTCCCCCGCTAATTTCAGTCTGAGGAAACTTAAATTGAAGGTTTTGAGGTACCTTTGCCGTCTCACATACATATCCCATGTCCCACTGTGATCCATGCATCCTGTAACCTTTATAGTAGGTATCACACTGAGGCTACTTAGCTACTTACTTGCTTACTATATCTCCCTGTAGGCCATTCCGTATCTTGTTCGCCGTATTTTTGGCATCTAACTTGATACAATTTTAATTGAATTAATATATTAGCTAATCCACTACATTTTAACCCCTGTGACACAAGAGGCTGCAGGATATTGATCTGCATGTAGGATGTTACCTGTGCTTCCTGAGGAGATGGTGCTCTGAGCAGCTGCCACTCGTGCCTGGTTGTCTTGGCATGTCCCTCCGTGCTGCCAAAGGATTGTCGCTTGACTGATGCAGCCAGGGTCTTTGGCCAGTGACTTCCTCTTACTTGGTCTTTCCAGGCAATGTTCTGATTATAATCAGGCTTCCTAGGTAATCTTTCGCTTTTTGGGCAAAGTCCCAAATGCCCAATAATTAGTGTTTTGTCTGCCTAGCTGTTATGCTCCTCATGGCAAATGGACACTCCGGGCTCCTATAAATTGCATCACTTTGAGCCAGTTTTGATGAAATCAGACAGGATGGCAGGACAAGCCCTATTGAGGACTGGACCCCAGAGTTCTGGGGGTATCTGTTGTAGCTGCCCTTTGAAGTCTTGCTCAAGACCTCTCTCTGTGATGTCTTTATTTCACATTTAATTCGAGAGAATCTCTTTTCTGGAACTTACTATAACCTTTTAGAGACACGTATATAGAACATATAAGTGATAATGCAAGGCAGGAGTTGATTGGCTGTTAAAGAAAATAGTACATTAAAAAGGGTGAAAAAGTTCTAAAAGAAGGAAAAATGTGAAATGAGTGGTATAGAATGTAAATGCTTTTAATTGGAATGGTTGACAGGGTACTTAGTGACTTTGAGCTGCGCCCTGGAGAAGAGGTGGGATTGGGATGGATGGGGAGGGGGGAGGAAAGGACCAAAGGACCACCATCAGCAGAGACTGAGGATGGAAAGAAGAGGTGTTTTCAAGGATAGAAGCCAGGCAAACTGGTTACAGGGGCTTGTTAGGAGAGATGTTTGGGTAGAGCAGGGAGGGGCCGGGTGGTGGAAAACCTCTGAGTTTCTGGCTGGACCCATTTGCAGTGTGGAACGGAGGGAGAGATTGGCATAGGGAACAGCTCGATGAGGTCACCTCATAGGATGGTTTAATTTGTTTTAACAATTGGTAGGGGTAAAAAATTGTGGGCATGGAGAACGGTGCCTAAAGTAATCTTCGGTATAGGTGGCTGAAGACCTCGTGGGGCAGTAGGGGGACTGGAAAGGGTCATACGTTATGAAATAACAAGCCTTGGCAATTGAATAGAAAGGTAAGAAGGGATGTATATTAGTAAATAAATGAGCAAATAGCAGGATTCTGAGTGTGAAGTTGCCACACAGAGAAATATGCTAGGTTATATGTATGTTAAGTATTACAGTGTTTTGCCCAAAATGTGCTGCTGCTTTTTGTTACCTCGCCTTTGCTCTTCAGGACTCTGGCTCAGAATCTTACCGACTCAGTCAAGCTGTGTTTCTGTAGAGTCTTGTGTTTACCACTGTCGAGCACTAAGCATACTGAATTCCTGTGGACTTGTCTGTCTTCTCTGCTAGACCAGGAACTCCATACGATCAGGGATAGTCATTTTGCTCCAGCGCCTCCTAATATATTAGGTATTCAGATGTTTGTGGGATGCATTATATATGCTGTTATATTTTCTTGCTGCTTTCTCTGGAGTGTTGCAAGTAGCTCTCTTAATTGATTATTACTTATCCTACTACCACCTAGATAATAATCAGTGATTGCCCTAAATGATGCTAACGGCCCTCTGCTTTCCCTCCCTGGCTTTCATTGGACAGATGTTTGCAGCATGCAACCACTGTAGTGTCTGTCTTAAAGATAGTAACGTGTGTGTACTTGGATTTCTTGATGGAGTAAGTAACCCCAGGTGAGGTACATCAGGCTGATGTCAAGGATTCAGTACCTTAGAGCCACAGAGGAGGCGATTCTGGCGTGCGCTCACCCCGTTACTGTACCAGGTTCCCTGGAGAAGTGCAGCACAGCATTCTCAACCTTCTTTACTCGAGATCTTTTAGGGCTGGTGAAAACGGAATTTATTAAAACAAAAGTACTATTTTTACTCTTCTTTTACTTGCGTAATTTTGCATGAGAGTACTTATGTGTGTTTAGGAACATCATTCTATTTTGGTCAATGCTTGCATTCTGCATACAGTGACTGAAGCGCGTGCTTTCTTTGGGAAACTGTGTATGAAAGCTAGCAGGAAAACATTTTGATTTTAAAAGATTCTCAGTTTTCCAAACTCTTCTCTTTAGGTAAATGTTAGTTGTCCAAATCAATGAGGCTGTGACCAGCGTTTGTTTCCTCGTTTCCAGCTGGGGAGTTGTTTGTGCGCTTTCTCAGCCTCTTACCTTCTCACAGTTCTTACACCGGCTCCTGAGGTGGGAACTGCATTCTTCTTGTCCTGCTGCTTCACGCTGTTACTTTTAAGGAATTCCTCTTCCAGTAGCACCTTGCTTTTCTTTTTTTCTTGTTTTAAAGCTCTCTTGTAACGCAGGCCCTAGGGAGCTGAGGCTGAAGCTGTTGCTGGGAGCCAGTGGTCTTCGTCTTTCCGTACGTCCTGACAGGTCCAGAGTGGGAGCAGGGGTGCCTTCTAGGAGGCTGGAGGAGGGTTCAGCTGTCAGCAGTTGGTGTTTTGGCACATGGTGACAGGGCGGGGAAGATAATCCTTTCGAGAGGGGAGGGGGCCACGGGAGTCTGTTGTCTGCGGAAGTTTTTCCGGGGGTGGGCCTGCCCCAGGCCGAGTTGTAGGTTGCTGGGTGTCAGAGTTAGGGGTGAACGGGGCTCTGCAGCAAAGCTGGGGAGGGGCAGTGAGGGTGGACTTTAGGACTGTGACCCTGCCCATGACCCGGGTCAGGACTCACGTCCCGGCTTCCTTGTGGAAGTTCTTTTAATGGTTTTGGAAGAATCATTTGGTAAAAACACACACACTTTAACTGGTGAGTGTCTCAGAAAGAAAATATAAAACAGAGATTAGGAGCCTGAATACTTGAGAGAATCATACAGGTCTGTTTTGTAGGTGTGAACAGACTGCAAAATGGTGTGCTTTCTGCCTTTTTTGACTTCAGTTTTACAGTTCCACTTAGAGCGGACCTTTGGGTTTTTAATTTCCGACTTGTTGAAGAACAGTTTCTGTCTTGTTTCGAGCATGGTGGTTCTCCACATTGTTTTCCCACGCCATTCCTGTGTGCCACACTCTTAGAAGCTCATCGCATTGTAATGCTGTGATTCCCAATGAGGGAGAGGTTGGGATATACTTTTTTGAGGGACTGGATGGGTAGGGAATGGATGACCAACCATACTTTGACTTGGAAAGCCCTCCTCCCTCATTGGGAGTCACTGATCTGGCAATAAGGTCAGGGCCCTAAAGATGTCGAGGTGATCAGTCATTTTAGTTTGGAAGAGCTCTTTGGATTTGTTTAGAAAGCTGCCCTGTGTGAATATAACCTCGAGTTCATCTGTGTAAGTTCAGTGACTGACCGTTCAATCTCGGTGCACTGCCCTCTTTCCTAAATGCAGTCTTTCTCTATTCTGTGGTGCTGGAGGCCTGTTACCACCTGGCAGGAGCTGGCAAGGTGGGCTGGGTGTCTGCACAAACTGCTTTCTTAGTTTGGCTGAGTTAGGTTGGACAAGGCCTGTAAGGAGTTGGGATGAAGGGTAGTGAAATTGGATTTGCAATGAGAAGTTCCCTGCTCACAATGTGACCTTGGGCAAGTGGCTGCTTAAGCCTTTTTTTGGCCTGAGTTTCCTAATGAGTAAAGGGGAGGGGTCTGGATCCCAATGAATCACTGAGGGGTTGGAGATGACTAGAGGATACATTTGCATTCCCAGTTGTCCCGTTGGTTTTGTTCCTAGGACTCCAGGTACTCAGCTTTTAGGCTTCTTTTAGCAAAATTTGCCCGAGAAGCATCATCATGCCCAGCGCAGTGTAAATATTCACACGTCCCGGCACAGCCCCATCCCCACGCATACGCACACGCGTAAAATACAAATCTGTCTGTGGTGAGGAAGCCCTGTGCTCATTGCCATGGGTTTTTTCCTGCAGAGCTTGCTGCCAGTCAGCTAAAGAGACTCCTGGAGTAGTTGTAGTGATAATGTCACAGGAACGAGAGAGAAGGCCTGGCACCTTTGGGAGACCTGCTGATATGTGATTTCTCCACCCCTCCCCCTCCTTTTTGAACCTGTTCTGTTAATAATTGCACCTAATTATGTATCTTTGGTCTTTTTACTGCTTATAATTCAAATGCTACTTAAAGCCGATTGTTTGCTTTTGTGTGCTGTAAATCCTGGGCTGCCATCTGAAGCACAACTTGATGATTGTGTATTATCATCTTGGGTTAAGTGCTGTCTCATTGCCTTGCAGGCTGCCTGCTGTTTCCCGGGGAGATCATGAAACGAGGTCGCCTTCCCAGCAGCAGTGAGGATTCTGACGACAATGGCAGTAAGTCCTGCTTTGTTGTTCTTGGAACCTACCAGGGTTTGGGTCAGTGTAAAAACATGGTTCTTTAATGTAATGCTTTAAATAGCTGAGGCCCTTCGAATATCAGGGAGGTCAGCGAAGAGCTAAGGCCTGAGAAACACATCTGAGTGTGATACTGCAGGTCTGTAACCAAATCTTTCTGGGTAAGGTTGACTGCAGACAGGCATTCCTCAGGCTTCCTGTTTGTTTTCCAGAGATGGATAATCCAGTTTCAAGAGTCACTGGTGTGTCTGTTTTTCCTAAACATCATTTACAGCACTTCACAGTTAGTTGCTCTTTATGAAAAGGGAACTTAATCGAAGCCAGTTAATTATTAACTAGTCCAACCCCGATACAAAGGGAGATTGAGGACTGCCTAGTGTGATGTGAAAATATTAAGTACACGAGTCAGCGGTCTTCAGTTGATTTGAACGTGCCTGTATTTAATAATACTACTGTATGCATCTCAGCTCTCTGGCATCCTCGTATTTTCACAGTGCAGCTGAGAACCAGAAGTTAGTTGGCTTCCAGGCAGGCAAAATAAATGTCACACAGCATCTGTGTATTGGGAAGCTAACAGACGATCCGGGGAAGAGCTCCCTTCAGATAACAAGGAAATTTTGTACCTAGCACAGTGCCTGAGCTCTGGCCCGTTATCTTATGTTTTATATTACAGATCAAATTTGGGAAACCTTGAAAGAATGCTTGCCCTGCTGAGTGATGGGAAAAGTATTGGGCCTGCTTTCAAGGAACTCTGTCTTTGGCATATATAAGATTGAGCTCCGATGGAAAGTCATCAGGACAGTTGGAGATGCCTTTTTGATGCACTGTGGAAATGTATATATGTAGACACAAACTCAGGAGGGGAGGGCAAGGGAAACCTACAGAGGAGATAAAAGTTGGGCAGGTCCTGAGGATGAAATCGTTTTAGGCAAACAGGGTTGTTTTTCCGTGCTCCAAGTTTTCGGCAGATTAAAAGTGGCAAATTAGAAAGCAAAGCTTTGCTGTAGGTGGCCACACTGACAGCCACCGGAAACATTAAAAACAGAAGAACTCAAACACAGCAGTTTGACTGGAGCGTTGGGTGCAGGCATGGAGCAGTGGGAAGGAGAACTGGTGGTGATGGGTGGGTGTTGGGTGTTGGGGGTACCTGCGAAGTAAGCTGAGACCGGAGGACGGTGAGGGGCTGGGAGCTCTTGGGACAGATGGTGGGAGCTAATGTTTGGCATGAGGGAGGAGTGAGCTGGGTAAGCACTCCAGAGAGAGGGGCGTTCCTTCTGTTTCAGGGAGCGGTATTAAGGGGCTGTACCCCGTCTGCGGGAGCCTTCGGGAACCCTGAACTTCTTAGCACTTATCTGTTCACGGCCCTCACTACCTGTTTTCTCTATTTACTTAGGCTTTTTACTCCTTGAGGCAAAAACATGCTTAGGTATTTCTTTTCTGCCCCCTGTGGTGCCTGTCAAAGTGTCCTCTGGAGTTATAAGCACTCAATAAACACTTGCTGTTAGCTCGTGTACACAATTTGTCCTGCAGCAATTAAAAAAAAAAACTTGCTTTTTAAGTTCAGAATTAATCAGAAGAAGGGTTCATGAATTATGTCTGTGTACTAATAGTGCCTGGTAAAAGGCTAAGAGTCCTATTTTCCTCTGATTTTGGTTGAGGAGCCGGCCCGTGCTCACTTTGTTGACTCTCAGCACTGCCTCATATCCACTTTGGGAGAGCTGGGTTAGAAAAGGTTCTCCTGGAATGTTCTCTCAGACTTAGACTCCTCTCCTTTCTGGACTAGAGGGTGTGCATTCTTGATGTCTCTGTGTGTGTCTAAATGTCCTCCTGTAATCCAGTGACGTCGGATTAGGGCCAATCATTTTAATTTAAACGCCAATTTAAAGGCTTTATGTCCAAATACAGTCACGTTCTGAGGTATTGGGGGGTTAGGCTTCAACATATGAAATTTTGGGGGACACAGTTCAGCCCATAACAGCCCTAGAAGACCAAATGCTTCATCTAAACCTATATTTCCACCCAGAACTCTAGGGGAAGAGAGTACCCAAAGTCCCCACCAAAAGTCTACGCATCAGGTCACCTTCCTGGTAATGGGCCTTTTTCGTCCTCCAGCTAATATGCCTGTGTCTGTGCTGGCCTCCCTGAAGAAGGCAGGGATGGAGGACTAAGGTAAATACTTATAGGTACAACCTGGGTTTTGTTCTACCCTAGGCTACACGTGGAAATAGAGTGGTGGTGGTAGAGGATGAGGATGCTAGCTGCTCGTGGAAAGGAGGCAGGCTGGCCTGTGTCCTCCAGTTGATTCAGTGTAAAGCGAGTGGTGACACTTCATGGCTGTGCTGTCTGTCCAGGCCTAGTGATTTGGTCATTATGGCAGATGATGGTCGTGGTAAACAGCTCTCATTAAGACCCCTAGAATGCCAAGCCGTATGAACACACGTACATTATCTGCACCGTGGAACACACTGTCCACCCTTTCTGAGGGCAGCTGCTACCCAGTGTGGGCTTCTGCCACCAGCCTGCCTGTTTGCACTGGAGCCCATCCTCTCGTGTAGGCACGTGGTGGGTGTGGGTAGGTGCCTTCTGCCCCTGCAGTCAGGTGCACAGAACTGAGCCTGCCCTTAGCTGAGTCTGAGTACCTGGCAGCCCTGCTTGTGAGATGGGCGGGCCGTGCAGTGGCCTCTCCCCAGCCTTTGCAGCCTGCAGTCCCGACGGAAGTCTGGCAGCAGCTCCCGGCCCAGTGCAGAGCATGTCAAAGTGGAGGAGAGGCAGCTGCGGACGTCAGCTTGGGGCCCCAGCACCAGCCACGGTCACGGCTAGGCCCCGCTGGCCTCCTGGGCTGGATGGAGCCCTTTGCTTTGATTTCTGGCCTGGTCCAGGGCAATACCGGTGTGGTATTTACAGTTGGGGATCGACAGGCATTTTCTGTGCCAGTGCAAAGCCCTCATCCAGCTGCAGTCATAGTTGTCGAAGCCTTTCTCCAGGTGCCCTGGACTGCCAGCCTTGGCAGTTGGATGAAGCAGCACCGGGGTGTTTGCAGGCTGTGTCTGTAAGTGCTGGGCTCCTGGGACTGGGTGGCTCAGCCAGCCTCTGAAGTTATGCATTGTGCCAGGGTGTGGCCCGGGGAAACAAGCACTTTATTTCTTGCTTCCCAGTCCATGGTCCTCTGTGTTAGGGGTTCTGGCAAATGTGGCTGTTTTTGGTGTTTCCATCCAGCCTGCAGGGAGGAGGAAGGAGCTGGAGGTTGAATCGGTCATCATTGGCCAATAATTTTATCAATCATGCCTCGGTAATGAAGCCTCTGTAAAAACCCAAAAGGACAGAGGTCGGAGAGCTTCCAGGTGGCGAGCGCGTGGTGACTGGGAGAGAACGGTGCGCGCCGAGAGGGCGTGGAAGCTCTGTGCCCTTTCCCCATGCCTTGTCCTACGTATCTCTTCATTTGGCTGTTGACTCATATCCTTCAGTATCCTCTTAGAATTAAGTTGGTGATCTAGTTAGTAACATGTTTCTCTGAGCTCTGTGAGCCGCTCCAACAAAGTAGTTGAACCCGAGGAGAGGGGCTCATGGGAACCTCTGCCAGTCAGAAGCACAAGTAATAACCTGGGCTTGGCAACTGGCATCTGAGGTGGAAGTTGGTCTCACGGGACTGAGTCTGGAATCTATTTCTATCTCCGAGTCAGAATTGAGTTGAACTCCTGGACACACTGCTGGCGTCTGACAGTTGCTCGTTGGTGTGGGGAAGCTTCCACAAGCACGTGTTGGAATTGGGTCTGGGAACCATTTTCACCTGCCTAATGCCCTAAATCCAGGGCTGTGTTGACCTCCCCATGGGAAGGCCGGGCGTGTGGCGAGGGGTCCGGGGCCAGGCACCTTGTGAGGGCCCTGCCTGGTCTCCCGGTTTTTCACACCTGCGCTGACCCTGAAACACTTCTGTCTTCTCCAGTTATCCAGCCAGCTTCTGCTCCATCACTGGTGATAACGAAGGTACAGAGGATAGCTGAGTAAAATTCAAACCTGCTAATTCTGCACTTAGTAATGCAGGTCGATGAGTGGCAAACATGAAATTTTGTGAGGACTTCTGTTTTTCTGGGCTCTCTCCAGCTTACAGATAAAAAATGAAGAAAGACCAGAATTTTTAGTGGGTGAAACATACTTTCTGCTTTGGACCCTTTATGTTACATTTTTAATAACTTGCTGTCATGTGTTTGGTTTGGCTGTGCTTGGTTTCCTTCATGGCAAGTCTCTGGAGGCTTCTTGGAGGGTTCTCTTTTGCATAAAAGTTAACCCTGCTTCCACTTCTCTTCCTGTTTGTACCTTTAATTTGCTCCTTCCCCCCCATCAGTTGCATCTTGTGACACCGCAGAGTTGTGTAGGAATTCTTGAAATGTGGAGTTTTTGGCTCAAGTACTGCAGAACGTGGGCCGTACCCGTGTCTCCTCCAGGCACATGGAGATGGCTTTACCCCTTTTCAAACCCGACTTGTGGCTTGTCCTTGACATTGATGGGCAGAGCATCATCTTGGGCTTGAGGAGTAACTAGCACAGCATGATCTGGTCTGTGGACTTGGACTTAACAGAAGGGCCGGGTGACCATGAAACATTGTGTCAGTTGGTCAAAGGCCCAAGTATGTTGAAACATTCCTGGGCCAGTTCTCTTAAGGTACCCATTAAGCTTTGTTTCTTGGAAGGTGGAAGTGAGTTGGACGGTTAGAGCTAAGCCATGCTGGGATGGAAAGGCTGGGCTGTGGGAGACGTGGGGTCAGACCCTGATAGAAACAGCAGTGGTGTGAGAGGCTTGTCTTCTATCACGCAGTTCAAGCAAGTAGAACTACGTTACATTTGTTTCCTTCTTTCGGATAGGACTTTCCATAGCGCCGCTTTACTGGCACCGGGCTGTCCTGGCCTTGCTCCCTCCAGTCTGCTCTGCTGTGGTGACACCAGCTGGCCTGCAGGGCTCCACACTTGCCGGTCCTGAGCACCTTCCTTTGTTAAGCTGGTTTAACACTCCTGAAGACACCAGAGTGGTGTTTAGCATCTAGAAGCGGGGTCTGAGACACAGGAGATTCGCCATTTGGTCAGTGGTGAGGTTCTTTTGTAGTTTGCATTTGTGGTGATGTGAGCAGCCACCCAGGCTGCCACTCATTCTCATGTCTGAACCTTTCATGCGCTGCACCACCTGGGAGGCTTAACACACACGAACTACCAAATGTCGGAGGTGTGTGCGACATGTATTAGATTTGCTCTTGAGGTTTTTTCCCTTATTTTAGATCTAGGGCAAGACAGCATGACTATTTTTAATATTTCAAAGGAGAGTGTTCGAGATAAATGCATAATAGCACCAGAAAGCAGGGTCCATAATGCAGTGCACGCACAGGAGCCACGCTCACGATGCTGCGACCTGTGGAGCCTTCTATAACTTTTATTATTCCCCCCACATTTCTGTTTTAAGGGAAGTTGGGGATAGTAAAACAAAGCAAGGGTTTATTTTCTGTTAATTCTTCTCAGTGTTTCATGGAGATTAATTGTTGATACTCAAACAGCGTATATGTCAAGCATTTAAAAGTCAGGTACACTTGTCACTAGAGTGGGCTTAACTTTAGGTAGTAATATCTTGTGTGTGGGCAATAAAATAATTTTAGATCTTATTGCCAAATTTTTAGAGTTCCTAACCTCCTGAAAGCAACAAGAAAATAAAACAAAATTTTACTTGCCATATTCTTTTTTTTTTTTTTTGCGGTACGCGGGCCTCTCACCGCTGTGGCCTCTCCCGTTGCGGAGCACAGGCTCCGCACGCGCAGGCTCAGGGGCCACGGCTCACGGGCCCAGCCGCTCCGCGGCATGTGGGATCCTCCCGGACCGGGTCACGAACCCGCGTCCCCCGCATCGGCAGGCGGACTCCCAGGGAAGCCCTATTTGCCATATTCTTCATTCAACTTGCCATTAAATGTTAGCATTCTGAAAACAACAAAATGCAGCACCAACCCAGCATAATCTTAGCACGTGGTTTTTAAGAACTAACAAGTGGCCCGTGTTTTACTATAGTGTAAATCAGAATCTCCCAGTCCTTTTGGTGTTTGAAATACCCTAATTTCTGGCTTAAAATTTTTTTCCCCTCCAACATACTTTCAAAAAACATGTTCTGTGGCATAACCTTTTACAATTAAGATGGGTGCGCGTTATTTTTGCTTGGATCGTGTTCTGGGAAGTGTCCGGAGCGGGCGCGGCCGACGGAGGAGAACTGGTGTAGGAACGCCAGGGCACTCTGCTTGGAGCCTCCTGTGGACTTGCCTGGATGTCTTTGTAGATGGAGGTGTGTTCCAGTCAGGAAGCAGTGCCCCCGCCACGCTGTCCTCAAAGGCATCAGTGCTTTGTTTTCCATGGCCTCATCTTCCTCGAGATCAAAAGCATGTCTTCTAATAGGTGAAACAGAGCCACCTTCGGCTCTTGAGTCACAGTCCCAAACAACGACGCTGTGTTTTTGTTGACTTAAAGACGTTTTTTTAAAAAACTGAGGATCTGCTGTGTGCACAGCACTGACTTCGGTATCCTGTATGTTGTAAATAGTTATTGACACAGTTTTAAAGTGAATTAGAAGGAGGAAATCACCATCAACAACTGTCTGCTGCTGGACGTGGGAGGATCCAGCTTCTCACTGTTCAGCAGCAAAGTCTAGGTTTTACACAAACCACCTGTGTAGGGTAAACCGGAGCATTCTCTCTTCCTTTACTGTTAATGGATGGTAGAAAATCATCAGTTATTTTCTGCACACATTTAAATTTGTACACTTTGATACATTTTGACATGTTTACACCCATGAAATCATAAAACTCATGATAATCCTTCTCTCCCCACTTTCCCCAGTCAACCTCTGATCTACTTTCTGTCCCTATAGATTAGTTAATATTTTCCAGAGTTTTATATAAATGGGATAATACCATACATACTCTTTTTATCTTTTCACTCCACATAATTATTCCTACATTCATCCGTGTTGTGTGTATCAACAGCTCGTTCTTTTTTATTGCTGGGTAGTATTCCATGGTATGGATATGCCGCTGTTTGTTTATTCATTCACTCTGTCAGTGGATGCTTGGGTGGTTCTATAAATAAGCTAAGAACATTCCTTATGTCAGTGATAATTTAAACTTAGCTTTCCCCCCAGTCTTTCCCTTTCTGCAAAGTGAGTTTAATAAGATTGATTTTTCTCTTCCTCTTTTTGCATTAGGCAAATTAAAAGGAAGAGGAACAGACTTTCTGGGTGGACCAGCATTTCTCTTGGGTAATACAATCAGATACCAGATTTGTAGCATTTTTGAATATCTGTTTTTAAAAGCAGGCAACATTTTTCAAGAATATAGAAGCAGCCCTGGAAAAAGTTTCTAAATGATTGCAATTACTTGGATGTGTCCTGTGCCAGCAAAGCTGCAAGCTTCCTGGCAACCTTGGAAACCACCCTGGAGGGATCCTGACCCAAAAGGAGGCAAAAGAGGGTCGTAAAACTTAAGAATGCATGAATTTGTTGTTGCTGCTTTAACTCTGAAAGTGTTTGACGTAAGCGCTTGTGTCCCCCGACCCCATGTTAGTTATTGAAGTACAGCAATGGAATGGTTTAAAATTTCTTGTCATTTATAAGCCTGTACCTAGTGATTCACAGTAAAGGGGGCATCCCTGTCTGCCCTGCACCTCTTCGCGCTCCCTGAGCCCCGGGGCCGTCCCATCTACAGTTGTCTTGTGCTTTTCCCCGTCTCTTCTTTCCGCCTGTGGGCTGGCCGGACGATGGCCTGCAGGACCGGACGGTGGAGGAGAGGCCTGTCTGGAGACATGAGCTGCTTAGCTGCCTTCCTCACCAGGTTCCTAATTTGGCTTCTGTCTTCCTTTTTCCAGTGGTGACCAGATTCAGAGCTTCCTACAAGTCAGGCTCACCCCAGTGTGCCCAGACTGTCTTCTTTCACTGTGGGTGTGAACTTTATTCTTGTTCATCTGGGAGTCTAAAGAGACATACTTAGGATTGCTTTTTAAAGAAGAATTTTCTAAGCTGTTACTGAACAGTGCGGTAGGGTCACCGATAGGAAATCTAATTCTGCTGGCCTAGCAGCGGACAGTCAGTCAGTTGACCCAGTAAACAAGCCTCAGGACTGGCCATCAAGGGTCGTGCCCTTCCCTGTCAGAGGGAAGCTTGGCAATCCCCTTTAGTCTCTGTCATTGCAAATCTGATGATAGGCTTATGGGCAGAACCTACTTCCTAATGCCCCCAAGGTCTTAAGGATGCTTTGATTCTGTGTCCCTTGTCTCTGGAATCTGTAGAGATAAGGGTTTCCTGTTTTGAGTGGCAAGTGATTTTACTGGTAGAATGGCAGTTCCCTCAGTTTTTAGCTTTTATTTGGGGCCGGGGAGTTGTTAATTTCTGGGAAATGGTACAGTTTGTTCGCCATGGAGCCAAGTTACTGGGAAGGTAGACAGGTGGTTAGGAGGTCCGTTTCAGATCTCTGGTGTCAGTACGGCACCCATGGACAGGAGGCGGTGGCAGAGGCAGAGAAGAGGAGCTGGGCTCTGAGCTGTTGGGCCGTGGAGTGGATGTGTCCTGAGTGAAGAGAGTCTAGAATGACCCTCTGATTTCGGACTTCAGGTAGAGATGGTGGTGATATGCGTCAAAGTAGGAATTAGGAGAGCAGGTTTGAGTAAAATGTCTAGCCCAGTCGCTGTTGTGCTGGGTTGACTGATCTCAGGAACGCCGTGGGCTTGACTGATGTCTGATCTGAAGGGTGAACATGGACCTGGTGCTGGGGAGGGAGGTTAGTGTGGGAACGCAGGTCTGACAGTCTCCTGGGCCTGCCAGGTAAGACTGTGGGCGTGGATGGGCGCTCCCCGGGGAGGGCACTGGAGCAAGAAGGTGAGAGAGCTCATGCGGGAGGGCAGGGACCCACAGTGGGGACACCAGGAAGGAGAATTGCCCCTGCGGCTGAGGGAGCGTCTCAGGCAGGGTGGAGACAGTGCTGCAGAGGGGTCTCAGGCGCGAGAGGAGCTCAGACTTGGTGGCAGTTAAGAGACATAGGTGGCCTGGTAGGGCTTCCAGTTTCCATGGCTTGGCGGGGGAAAGGCCCCACGACAGAGGATAAGAGGATCTTGTCCTCAGAGCTCAGAAGAGAGCTGACAGGCATTCTCTGGGAAAGGGGAGTAGGCAATTTTAAAGGTGATTTGGCCGGAGCACCTAGTCTACGGCGGGTCTGAGTTTCCCTTTTTTAGGGATTGCTAGGTTCTGTTGTGGAGTCAGACCTTTTGGGGCATGGCTTTAGGATTTAGCACGATGATGTTAGTGTTTAAAAAGTTACTGGAAATTAAAAGAGAAGTTTCTGAATTTATATTTACCAACGCAAGGCTTTGAACCTCTTAAGAAGTGCAGGCTTATGGATGAAGGCTCTGCCTGCTTGGTGTTCTTGAAAGGCCTCTCCCCTGCTGTGAGTTGTACCTGTGACGCAGCAGCCCTGAACACAGTGTGTGCGGAGTGGTCTTGTTGGCCTGCTGTGGGAAGTGAGCCTTTAAATGAGCAACGGGGGTGGAGGAGCTCCAGGGGAGAGAGGAGAGCTCTGGCAGAGCATCGGGCCGTCTCCTGGGGTGGTGCTTAGGGGCGCCTTGCTGAGTCTGGTTAAAAAAAAGAACCCTGTGAACCCTCAGTGGTTTGTGTACTTCTGATTTATTCCTATTCGGATATTTGTTTCTTTAGGCCTGTCAACTACTTGGTCACAGAATTCCAGATCCCAGCACAGGAGAAGTTCATGCTCCAGACATGAAGATCGAAAGCCTTCGGAGGTATTTCTCGAATGCTGGCGTGACTGTGCGTGTCGTACGTGTGTGCGTGAGTACATATGGTTGACACACACACCTGGTTGGTTGATATTGCTGTCAGTCTGTGCATTCTTGGGCAAGTTACTTAACCTTTCTGTGCCTCAGTTTCCAAATCTGTAAGATGGGGCTAATACAGGTGTTTACCTCGTAGGATTTTTGTGAGAATTAAGTGGGTTAATACCCAGAGGTGAATATGTAGAAGGTAAATCCTGCTCAGTAAATGTTAGCTATTATTATTATTAATTCTTTTAATTTTTTTTTTTTTTCCTTCTCTGTTTCACCTTTGCTGGCTCCCAACAACTTTTCCTATGGCCTGGAGATCAGCATGTTCAGCTGCTGCCGGTCACTGCCAGCCTCAAGTTAGTTAGTTTTAGTCATGAATTTGTGGTTTGTTTGGCAAAACCCAACGTAATTCTGGGATTTTGCTTAGGGGATTATGCTTAAGGCTTTCTCCCCTTCTTTTGAAGTTTGTTTCTCACCTTACATTTCCCTGCTCCCTCGCATTTTGTTATTATCTACCTATCTGTCATCTATCTATCCAAAATTGTTTTTGGGTGAGTTTCTTTGTGGCTTTTGTTGGTTAGGGGCCCCTCCCACTCCTGAGATCTGTGTTCTCTGAAAACCTTGGACTGGGCTCTGAGGATCTAAGTGATTGAAGAAAAGGCATTTTAGTTTCTCACAGTGTTTAGGTGAGCAGGTTATGGGGGAAGAGAGTTTTCGGTCCAGCCCCTTGGTTTTGCACTGCCTCTTAGTGGGATGACTTCAAAGACAGCCTCATCCTGTAGCGACTGAGCAGAGGCCGCCGTCCATGAGGTAGCAGGGAAGCCGGGAGCGCTGTGTTGAGCGTAGGATTATTTAGTTGCGGAATAACTTCCTCCACGAGGAAGTAGCGTATAATATACTTTAGAACCACCCCAGGGGACACTCAAACATTAGAGCAGATGTTCATGAGAAGGTGGCCGTTTTATCACCTTGATTTATTCCAGGCCTTTGTCCTTTTGAATCTGCAGTGCCGCCTTCCTTTCCTCTGGTATCGGGAGTGACTCTGCTGCTCTTTTTTATCTCTTTAATTCCCTCCACAACCCCCTCAATACCCTTCTGATGTCCACACCGCACTCCTGTTATTTCAGGGCAGGAATACAGGGTGCTCCAACAGGGAGCTGATACCTGTGTGAGAGCACCAGTGCCCTGGGTGCAGCCAGAAACCCCTCCCAGAGTCGGCACTGGGAAGTGTGGATGGAGCCAGTCTTGTCCCTGACCTGTGTTTTGTTCCAGGGTTGTTTTTTTTCTTTTTTGGATGGAGTGCTAAGGTTGAGCCCTGCTGGGGACTCAGGAGCTCACGTTCATCTGAGGGCATCTGTTTCCGTCCTTGACCGTCCTCGTCCAAGTCCCTGAGCTCAGGAACGTTGGGCTGCCTTTTCTCATCTAGTTGCTTCAGTTTGATTTCCTCCTCCTTGGGCAAAATCCCTTACTTATTACTTATCAGACTTAGTTGGAATGTGTTTTTAACTGATGTGCTTCCTGAAGATGTAGATCTGTGACTTTGTTTGCAAGGACTTTTTGGGGGTCTGGAGGGCACGGCTGACAAAGTTAATGCTCCCTGGGGCGCGGGGCAGGCATCTGCCGCAGGGCTCGGTGCTGCGGGGGGGCCTGATCTTGTGCTTTTGTGCGGGGGGTGGGGCGGTGCACAGCCAGGCTCTTGCTTGTTACTGGGACTTTAGAGATGAGGAGTGGCAAACTGGGGGCAAGTCGGGCCCCAGACGGCCGGCTGGAGACATGGCCCTCTTCCTCAGACGCTGCCTCAGACTTCGTTACGGTGACGTTCATTTAAGTGATCACCAGCCCGAAAAGCCACCGGGAAAAACAAATACGGACCTATTAGCAGGCGTATAGTGTGAACTGTGCTTAGCAGCACAAGAAAGAACTCCCTGTCCCGAGAAGAGAGAGTTCAGCATTGTGACTTGTGTAAACAGAGAGTGTAGCTTACAGATGCAGGCACACTTGGTGCCAAATACAGCTTTGGGCCGGCGCTAATGCCAGGGTCAGAGCTTCCTCGTGCAGCCCTGGGACAGGAGTGGGCTGGGCTCCGGCCGCCTCCCGCCCCGCCAGGAGGAGCGGGCACGTGGGGGCCACCTTGGTGCTGCTCCCCTCCTGGCCCCGGATGAGGCCCGAGGGGCCCTCTTGGCCGAGGGGTGCTTTTGAGTCTTGTGCGTCTGTTTGTGGCAGGGTGAAGAGAGGGTGGTAGCTTGCTTGCTTGCTTCTTTCTTCCTCTCTGTCTCCTCCCCTCCCTCCCTCCCTCCCCTCCTTTCCCCACAAATGCTGCTTTCCCAGTAGGAGTTATGCCGGGTGAAGGTGTGCAAACACATTCCTCACCAGCCCATTTTCTACCTTGCCTCCATTGGTGTGTCGTTGCTTCTCTCCCAGATGTTTCCGTGCTGTACTCTGCCCGGCTCTAGCCAACCAGGACCCGCCCTCCCCGGACACCTTGCTGTTAAGTCCGGGTGCCTGGGCAGGCGGGAGGTGGGGAGAGGCAGTCTGAGTAGAGAAGAGGGGTCCCTGGTGGCTCTGGGTTTTGGCTTGGAGTTGTTACATGGTTAGTGGAGTTTTATTTCTTAAACATTTACAAGAAAGTCACCCTTGAGTGAAATATCTCCCTCCGGGGATTTTTTAGGCGCGTGTTTTCAGCAGCCTGCTTGGTGAATTGGGAGTTCTTAGAAGTTTTTCCGGGGACGGCAGCGAGGTTCCTGTGTTGCAGTAGCTGGTGCGGACGTCGCCATCTCTCGGAGCTGGCGAGGGAGGGAGGGCAGTGTGAGCTGCTGCCACCTCCGACCCTGAGCGAGGCCCAGGGCGTGGCAGGCCGAGGGGTTTCCTGTAATAGGTCAGACTGGTTCTCTGTTGAAACAGTGACCTTGTTACGTGGCAGCTCCATGGTTACCCTGCAGCTGCCAGCGCTCTGAGTAAGAATGCAAATATCCAGTGTCAGTGACCCTTTCTTTCCCTTTCCAGGTGTTTAGGACAGACCTGATCACTGCCATGAAGTTGCATGACTCCTACCAGCTGAACCCAGATGAGTACTATGTGCTGGCAGATCCCTGGAGACAGGAGTGGGAGAAAGGGGTCCAGGTGCCGGTGAGCCCTGGGACCATCCCTCAGCCCGTGGCCAGGTAGACGTGCCCCAGGGGAGGGGTGCCGCCTGTCTCCTGACAGTTGCCTTTCTGCCCTGACAGCCGGGTGCCTGAGAGGAGCAGTGGTGTTTGGGTCAGCAGTGAGGCTTCTGGGGAAAGAGAAATGCAGTAGAAACACACCTCAGGTCCGAAGGTAGTGCTCTTAAGGGCCATGGGCCTCCGAACTTAACATTGCAGCCACCTTGGGAAGGTGCCTCTCTCTTAGAGAGGAAGGTAAATTCCAAGGCTCCCTGGGAAGTGGCTGGCGGCGGGGGGGGG